ACATATACTTAAAATGTTGAGCTATAAAGCAGAATGCATTATATTAAGCTGACAAAGTTAGTCTTCGATCACAGGTTATATGTAAGAAGTAATTAGAAAAAAAAGAATTTAAGTCTACAATTTTAGATTCCATTATGAAAGAAGCATGAATGAATTCATATAGGATTCATATGCTGGAAAACAATTATAGCTGAGAAATTTCTGACTGAGCTATCAATGGTGCAAAGACACCATCTGTGAGATTATGACTGGACACCTCTAGGTCTGAATCCCTCCTAAAAGGTGTAGACTGGAAGAACATTTCTAATTAGCAAACCGAACAGTTTAGGTGTACAAGTTCAATGGAATTATTCCAGACAAGTGAGCTGTTCATAAAATCCACTATTTGCAGATCATAACACCATTCTAATTAACTAGAAATCCAGATTGTAAAACATTTATTTAGAAATCCATACCATATTCATAACATCATATTTAAAGCAAAAAATCCTAGATATTAAAAAAAGGAGTGTGCTCAACTACACATCCAAAAAGATGTTCACTTATAGTGAAGACCCCACGTCAGGATGACATTGTTAATGAGCAAAAACCTCAATCACAGCCTCAAGGCCAGAATTGAGAAAGAGCAGGTTGGAACTTGCTTTAAGGGTGGTTAATGAGTATATTTTAGGGCACAGGGGTAGCCAAAGATCATTCCATTACTAAATAGGCAGCAGTAACCTCAAGAGTTATGCAAGATTTTGACCCCACACTATAAAAGACTCAATCGTTAACTAAACAAGGAGTCCTGGGGCTGTAAAAATTGGCTTTTGCAGTGTTTCACAGTATCCATGGGAACACTTCCTAAATACAAAGCCATATAGCAATAACCTACAGTTTTGAGACTTGAGTTAACTTTTCTAATACCTTAACATATTTCAACTACTTAGAAAAAGAAACTGAAAAAAGATACTCTGTCCGATTAAGCCAGTTTCAAACATCCAAAGTTCTCATTTGCAAACAAGAGTATAACTCCCAATTCACACAGAAAGCAGAGGTACCCCTAATTAAGACTCTAAATCATACCAGCATCTTTTGGCATCATTCAAACCTCCCCGTGTTGGGGACACGGAGCTATTTCAGAGACCTTGAGTACAAGCAGGATACACCCTGGATAGGGCACCAGTGAGAAAGCGGATAGATGGAGAGCACAAGCACATCATGCTGCACCTTCACCTAGACAGAGCAACTACCATGAGACTGCATACAGCTGCTGAAGCAAGTGCGATCATTTGAACACTATACATACCTAAAAGCGAACCAACCATTACCTTACAATAAATAATTAATTGAAACAAATGACGACAATGGGTTGGGATACAAAGAAAAACCTGAACACAACAGTAAATTAAAGCCACACCTTGCGTTAAGTCACTTAGATATTCTGGTGTTTTGCTTAGGACAACAGGATAAACAAACGGTTCATTGAAATACTATTTAAAACCCAACATTAGTTCCAACACAACCTGCAGCACTGTGACAGCGTTACTATTTGCACTTCTATTTGCAAATGTTTTCTATCCATGAATTTATATTTTTAAAAAGGGAAATCCAGGTTCAAAATAAACATTAGGCCAGCTCTGGCTAAGATATCATTTCTTTCTTTGTTATGCAGCTTTTGAAAAGAAAAGGTAAATGTCATGTATGGCAAGAAACCTGGTGCGTTGAAGTCGGAGATCTTCATTTAAGCGATCACTACCTGGCATGCGCAATAGGGGTTTGCATAATAATAATAATAATAGTTTACACTTATATAGTGCTTTTCTGGACACCCCACTTAAAGCGCTTCACAGGTACATGGGGAGTTGTCATCCATGCCAAGTGCAGCCTGGGACACCTGATTATTATAATCATGTATATACAGTATAGTGGATGGATACAGTATATTGCTTCACAAGCCATCAACAAGGCAGTGCCTCTGAATCTGACTGTCCTGTCATTGGATACATACACATGGTTAACTGGATCCAGGGTGGTCATGGGAGCATTCTGCTGGTCGGCATTGGAGTTAAGTGTGGATGGTTGGACCCTGATTGCCCCATCGACCTCCTGCTGCTACCTTCCAGCCACAGACATTCCCAGAGGAGCCCTTCTCTCTCATGACCCGTTTAACCTGTGACCTCTAAAAATTGTGTAACACAGGAGCACACATCTCTGCACGTATACACACACACCAGCACATTATTTTTTTTAACTACATGGGCTTCTGCATTTTTAGCATTTTATACTCAATATGTAATGCGGAGTGCAAAAAGAGGATGTGGGCGCTATGATTTTTGAATAAGCTAACATGTTTTAATACCTACTGCAAGGTTTTGACTCTCACGGGTGAGTGAAAAAAAGACTCCCAGGGTGTTTCCCGAAAGGAGTGTTAGCCCCACTGTCCTGACTAAATTTTTCCCCCTACTTTTTATCACTCATGGCTTACTATAACCCCCACCTATGTATTGGCTCCATTACCCTGTTCTCCTACTCACTGATACCTGATGTGTAGTGAGCATACTGGCGCACTTCTGCTGCTGTCACATCATCCAGTTAGGGGCTACAAACTGGTGGTGGAGGGGAGTCCCCATTTCCTGTAAAGTGCTTCAGGTGGAGTGTTGCAGCAGGTTGTTTTGCCCATCACATCACAGGTTCCATCAACAAACCCGTTATGAAAGTGAAACATAATGCTCTTAAATCATTGTGCTTGGTTTTTCTCACCTTTTAATCCAGTGCCAGCAGGTATTCGAAATACGTTCTTATGTTCTAAATTTCAGCAGCATCAATACTGATACACTGAGTGTGACAGTATTTTTGCAGCAGAAACATAAATTGGATGTTACACCTTTCTTACCCAGGAGCAGAATCTTGCTTTTGGAAAGAGGTTTTTAGCCTCACTCTGATATTCTATATTACTGAATAATTTATCCAGTGCTCCCAAGCTCTACCCTACGATGCCTTTCGATAAATCACTTTTAAAAGACAAAGATTTTGCATGGACAAGGTAAAGTAGATAAATCCATGCAAGTTTAATTATCCACTGAAAACCATCATCTAAGCCATACTTAAAAGCAAAAATATTGATTAGTGTATGAGCATAAATCTGGATGTATTAGAACAGCCCTTGCAGTGCTACATGTCATGTAATCATTAATATTGTAAAGAGGAAAAAAAGCAGGCCCACACAGAGAAGAAAGGCTATAAATGAATTCATCTTTGACAACAAAACATCAAATTGTATTAAAGCAGTTGAATAAGGAACAGATATGTTGACGTCTCACAGCTATCAGTGATTCAAGATGTGAGGAACTACAGCATAGAACACAAAATCCATTCTGTAAGGCATATAAATGAGACTAATGTGCTGTAGGTTATTACTCCTCTGACAACAACTATTGTCATGCCAATGCATGTTAGAAAATGACAATTTAAGGACAAAAGAATAAGAGGCAGAGGTCACACTAAAGTTACTGATAAATAATATCACTACATTTATATTCTTGTTGGCTTAGCATATCGTCTTTAAAAAGCAGAAACTCCATTTGGACCTAAAACTATTTTCATATAATTATTGGGACAAGAACAATTATGAGCACACATTCCTGCTTTTTCCAATAGAAGGCAAAAAGTTGTGGAATAGTTTTGATTTGACTGCATGAGATTAATCCCTCAGTTTAATTACTGAAACTACTTATGGAGAATTAGTAGCATAAGAGATTACACTCTGATTGATACAATGCCAGAACATAAATCCACTTTTTCGCACACATTTCTTCTTCCTTTCTCCAGATGGATTTGTCAATCACGTTACTAAGCATTTTGTTGAAGGCTTCTAACAGAAAATACATACTTATTCATTTAAATACGTTTATTTAACTGTTCTTTTTTTACCCATTAAATGCTCTCTGTTGCAACTTGAACAACAAAGAGTATTAAACTCTGATAGGGATAGCCTTGGTGTAATCAATTGAGTAGAATCTAACAAAATAAACTTATTTTTCATTTAATTATTTTCAGAATGTCTTGTGAGGATAAACACAAGATATTTCTAGATTCAGACAGAATATGAAACAAAGATCAGCCTTGTTTTTAGTTAAGTCCCTGAATGCTCTAGTTTCACTGAACATCAATCCTGTATTAACAACCTCTGCAATCTTTCTGAGGAACTGTCAGGGAATGTTGAACTAATCTGGAAATACTTCAACCAAAGCACACAGTATCCTTATCTCTACTTAAAGAAAAACAGGGCATCCTGAAATTCACATCTGAGCAATGATTCCTCATATACTGTACCTATGGAACCTTATTAAAAACAAGTAAAAACATTTGTATATGCAATATTATACTGAAATGTAACTTTAATCATGTAATATCAGTAACATATTAATGACATTAAATATAATATTAATTTATACTTTATAATAAGGCAATAAACTGTGGAAGGCAAGATGCTACATGATCTTAACTGGACTTCAGAATCCAAAGAAAAGCCACACATCTGGTCCTTCCATAAAATACTGCTCATGCCTTGCATACACATTTGCAAATTAGCTTACCTTTGCTTGTGTTGGCTCGAAATGTCCTTTAAATCACCGATCAAACCTATTTTGTCTCTTTCAGCTCAGAAATATAGAATATCCAAACATTATTCTAAAAGTCTAATAAATATGATGAACTATCTTAAGTCTTTTTCTATAAAGATTAAGTTGTTTAACTGCTTTTCTTTTATACTTTTCAATTTAGACATATTAAACATTGCACACATCTTGATACACATTATTATATAGCAGAGTTTCAATATTGTTTTCAAATAATTCATTGTTAAAAGAACGTGATTTAAGCTATAAACTTTAGTATATTAATATAAAGAGTATGACATTCATTGAAGAATATCCTAAATACACGGATATACAAACTCGTTTTTTTGTGTAATAAAATACGTTCCATCAGGGTATTGTTTGATAAATGAAAGTACTTACCGGCTTTGGCATATTCGGTTCCCTGTATGTGTTCCACCAGAGGTTCAGTGAAGTTTTCTTTCAATACTCTGGGCCAAACGCGGACGACTTTTCCTCCGAAATACTCCTCTTGAAAAAATGTAGAGGAATAAGTTTGAGAGACCTCAGAAACTATCAGAAGAAATCTGTTCTTCCGTTCAGCTTGTGTAATGTGACAGAAAATCAGGTAAACCTGTGGGATATACGTTTATGAATCATTATTAAGTATGTAACTCCTGATTAGAAACGGGCCTCACCCAAGTGAAAAAAAGACGTCCGACAGTGTGCAATACCACTAGTTAAAGGTCGCTCAGTCTCCACCCTTTTTGGTAAATACTTACCTCAGCACCTCCAAAGGTGTGACCCTTGGACGCACAGAAATAAATTCAACCAAATATATCGCCACCATTAATAAATGTAAGGGCTACCGTGATAGAAAACTTAAAATACATTAAGCGAAAACTGAAAGTACTCCGACGTCCTTGCGTTTTATAGACACACTGCTGACAATGTAACAACACGTACGGAGAAAGACTGAAGTGCAACTTCACAGGAGAAATGATTACCAATGGTTACTTTCGATCCCGTCCTTGAAATTCACAAGCTACAGGACTAAAAAGTGTTCGTGCTTAATATTCTATACAAGCAAATCAGCTTTACAATAATACATTTTCAATACGAAAGAAAATGTAAGTATCGATATATCCGTACATTTAGTTATTTAAGTTTATGCACAGACATACAGACAGATACTAGTAACAGATTTCTTTCACTTTTCCTTCAAAATAACGTCTTACTTAAAATGGCACGTATACCGTAACTTTTTTTTCTCCAGATCAAGCCTGCGAGATAAATCTAAGAGCTTCATCTGAAGAGGAATACAATCATTTTAAGGAAAAGCCATCATATTTTAAACCTTGATGCGTCATTTTTTTACCCAAATGGTTGAGCAATTGAGAGAAAATAATCTGGTTTACCTAACCTTCAGCAGTTAGCCACAGCCCACAATAATCCCTGTAACACCTGTTGAGAGATTTCCTTTGAAAACCTAACAAGTGCAAAACAGAGCTGTGTAACATAACCTCCACCATCCCGCTAGACTTTACGAAAACATTAAAGTATTCGCTTGAATATAACTTAATAAATTATCTTACCAGAAGCAGGTGTGATTTTATTAGAATCACTGACGAGCCGCAGCCTCGAAAACTCCCCTCCCTCGGCTGAAGTCAGCGGTACTGCAATATGGCTGACCCACTCATTCTGTCCTACAGTGCTCTATTCATTTCTATCTCCCTGTTCCTGGGTTCCTGTTTTGTCACCGCTGGGGCGAATCCAACAGCGACTCCTATCAGCAACAAGCTCTGACAACATCCGTGGAGCTCGAGAGAATAATTTAAATAAATAAATGAAAGTGAATAGGGAGACCAGAACACAAAGAAGACGAAGAGTTCATGCGGCTAATGATCTCCTACAGTGTTCTTAGACTATAGCCGGCAGACGTCTGGTTGAAATGTCTGCCTCGCCTACGGTACATATAAATAAAAAGTTACGACCGAATGAATGGTAACTTTAACAATCTTGAGGACTAAACTTTTCGCGAACTTTGAAAATGTAATACATAATGTCTTAAGAAAGAAAAATAAACGATGAATTCATCTGATATCGAGACGTGTGTGGTTTTATGCGTTTCTATGTGCAGCAGCTGGATCCAGGGAAACCACCTTACAATAAGGCATAATACATCTTTCACAAGTTTTTGCGTTTTATCTTGTCAAGATAGAAGCTCCTCTGAAACAAATGATGTTGTACACAGCACTATCAGTACAAGGCCTGTTTTAATTTAAAGGGCGGTGAGCAGTGACTTTCGTTGCCATGTGTGAATTGTTTACTCACTATAGAAAGGTAAAAATCAATCATCTCCAATAATCACATCAATCATGGCTGAAATAGAACGTGTCTGTCATGTCAAGAAATATTAGTTGCAATTATTAGGTTCATAAAACTAGAAGTAGTAAAGTAAACATACTTCTTGTGGTAGAAACAGCCACAATATGACTGATAATAAGAAACCCACAGGCAACGTAATACAGACTTTCACTGAATAGGTTATCTTTGTCAGAATTGTTAGTCTACTTTTAGAGGTGATAAACCTCTACCGTAGCTCAAATAACCATTTAGTGACCTGTAAACATAACAAAGGAGTTAATTTTTTCCTTGAAATTCCTTAGATTTCTGAAGAAGAAAATGTGATCATCACTCAATCCTTTCAGAAATAATTAAATGGTGCAGGACCTAAAAAAGAATGGTTTACACAAATGTTATCAAAATATATTGAATATTTACATATGTAAGATAGAAAACTACAAACCATGAGTATTTTCATGTTTAGTATGTTGATGTGTATTACACAAATACTAGAATAAGAAACTTCTAGAGGTTTATGTAAAACATCTGAGGATTTGTTAGAGTACCACAGAACTACAAACATTAGAGGATTAAAGCTGAAACATTTGTTGTCATCATATTTACAAAATATGGATAAATTTGAACTTTAGGCATTTTAAATTTTTGTTGTTATTTTTATAAGTATGCTTTTGATATATTTAGTCCTGCTTTTCACATCATAAGTGATGGGAAATCTTTGTGTACACCTCTGCTTTTCCCTTGCAAAATTAACTTGTAGTGACTGTTTATCACAGGTACAGTACATACTGTATGGAGGGTGCTATAAGTGGTCAACACTAATCTGTAATAAAGATGTGCAACCTCTTATTTTAATTATTGCTCAGTAACGTTTTAATTTTCTCCACACAGAGATTTGTAATCACTCTCACTGGTAAGTTAAATGTAAGTAAAATGTATACAAATACAGTAAGCTGCTATCTTATTCATATCCCATGGCTCCATTTGTTTCATTTTTTTATTTGAAATGTTTTTTTTTTCATGCTAGCTCATGTAAAACTCATAGGTTCAGTTTCTTTTAACAGTTGACAATGTACTTCTTCTATTCTTTTGCTGTTCAGACCTGTTTGAACAGTGGAATAGCTTGGATTCAGGAGTCCTTCTGTTCATCTTATCAGATGCAGGGTTTTAACAGAGTTTAAATCTAGATATCGGTTTGGTCATTTCACACTTTCATGCTTTACCCATGAACCACCCATGATCATCATCAGACAAGGTGATTCTTAAAAGAACTGCACACATTTACACAGAACTGCTTGTAGGGATTGTGAAGGAAAGGTTGGGCCCGAGAAACTACTATAATCAGTATGCTTATTTGAAAATTTCTCTTTGGCAAAATTTCCTCTTCCTTGCCCTTATACAGTAAATAGGCATTATATACGAACAACATACAGAAATATGTCAGTCTGTATTGGTTATTATACAATTTCTTATAATCATCCTTTTACCCAGATCTGTAAACAATATTATGCCTTTATCCAGAGATGATCACCCCCCGCAAAAAAATAAAATAAATTTTCACTAATAATGCAGGAGTGAAAACATATTAATTCTTCTTCATTCTAATGCTATATTTGCTAGAATATTGTTATCTTTGAACAGAAATGGAAAAGTTTTTGATAACATGCAGTGAACCTTTGATGGGGAAGTTGTCAAGGTGTGGTGGCAGCTTATTGTGTTCTCATTTTAAAAGGAAAGCTGTGTAAGTCAGGGAGGGCGTGTGTGATGCTTAATGAATCAGCTTGCGTATGACATATCTTGGTTTCTCTGATCACTGCTACTCTGTCTTCATTATTATAAAGGTTCAGAAACAGCATGTATAGAAATGCTGATATTGGTACAATATCTGTAGTTGTCTCTTAACTTTGTAGTAACATTTCTGCTTCTTATGCAGTAGTAATTGGATGAGCCCATACTACTGTGTATATGAAGCTTACCAGCAAAACAACACTTCCTAGATGCCACAGCACCTCTCAATTTTGGGGGAAAGGTGCCCCAAATGTGGACAGGGCTACTCTGCTTCTGGGTACAGAATAAATAACAGACAGGACACGTGACAGGGTAACACACAACAATTTAAGAATACATGTATTTTTGGAAAGAAAAATGCATAATCCCATAAATGTCTCTGTTTGAATCTTACTAAGCATACCACACAGTGCACGTACATTCTTACAACATCACAAGCTGAATAGATTTTCTAAATAGATTTTCTAAAATAATGAGCAAATACCAAACCTAGACGTTCATCGTGTGATCGAAGACTTTAGTGAATCTTGACTTTATAGTGAGAAAGAATAAAAAATACTGTTTTTTCCCTTACCCTCTCTGCATACAGTTTCCAAACCTTTAAATGGTTTATATGAACTCAGGATTCAGTTTTTCTGTTGAAGCCATCAGCATATCCCCCTTTTGCATATATTTATATAGCCCAGAGGAAATTCAAAAAGATAAAGTGATTAAATGCAACCTTCAAGAAAAAAAAAAAACAATTTTCAAGCATGTTTTTGCCTTGTGCATACAAATATATAATACATATATATATGTGTGAGTCTGGGGGCTTTAATTTCCATTCACACCTAAAAGATGATCTTTCCGTGAAAAAAGAATGAGCAATCAAAGTTGTAGATCGGTGAGAATCAATCCAGGTCCAAGAAAATCTCAGCCAACTGATAAGAATACCGCACACCCCTTTCACTGTCACAGATAGTAAAAATACTTTATAAAGACTTTTAATTTGATTTAGTTTATTATAATTAACAATTTTCTTTGTTGACTTCAGCTTTAACGGTATAGCCTCTTATTTCCAAAACTAGAAAATAATGTTTAACCCAATCATCCGGGTTGCTTTGACGTTTCTGTGGTGTATCTGGCTATCGCAGTGTGGCAGGGCGTTCTGCAAATTCATATTCAATAAACCTTACTAGCACCACAAACAGGATCATAGCAACACAACTTTTGATCCGTTAGCGAACTTTTTTTCTGCAGTGATGCAAGCGTCTATTTACACCCATACCACTGCGTTTCTAATTGTATTACGTGAGAGTTTCAAAGGGTTTGACCAGCAGTGCCTGTCGCAAATGCACGCCCATGACACAAAGACAGTGGAACTCTGATCTAGGTGGGGAGGTGTCGTAACCGGACATAGCCAATAGCAGTACAAGATTAAAATAGATCTGTATATATCTGCTGTAAATCCAGCAGCGCAAATTAGACCTGCCTGCAACAGGTTGATGAACGCGGGATGTATAGTACGCTTAGACTTGTGGTCGAGAGTTTTACTTGCACTCTGATCAAGATCAATGTTAATAAAATAGCGCCATTGTGTTTCGACTGGAGGCGCAGAAGAAAAACAGGCGATACGACCTAATAATGTAGACTACATTATAACGTGTACTGTAGGGAGGAGGAACAAAGGAAGGCTCACAAAACGTTTCCTTATAAAACGGTATCTATCGTGGGAGATCTATAATCCTTGTTTTATACAAATGACGAGCAACAATTGGGTATATTAAGCCAGATGAGCAATTTCATTTTATTGTACATTGCACTTGGAGTTTGTACTGTATACTGACAGTCATTGAAAACGAACAATGTGTTTTGGAACCAAAATATATCAGCATACAGTATATAATACTATATATAGATCGATTGACATAGCTGTGACATAATATAAGTTAAACAGACTTACTCTAGCACAGTCTACATCAATATAAATGTTTTTTTGATCTTATTCTATTTTTAAATATAAAAAATAAATTGTGTTTTTAAACATTTGTTGTTGGAAGATAAACATTTGTTCATAATAAACATTGTAACTGTAGATTTTCCTTATACAGTAGATGTGATTTTGATATAGCTTTGTGGAACCTAGAACCTCTTTGGTAGATATGCTTGATGTTACTATTACTTTCTTGTGCATGGTAAAAAGCAGCCCAAAAACTATGGAAGTATTTCCTTCTACTGTACATAAGCAGACATTTCTTTAATCATCAGAATTCATTCTTCCACTGTTATCATTAGTTACATCATCAATACGGATGAATGAACCAGTTCATGCATGCCACGTTCATGAACTTAGCTCCGTCATGCATTACAGATAACATGGTGTTCTTTACAGTATCTGCAGTTCCTTTGTTTCTCCACATCTTAAACCCTGATCAAATTGATGGAAAAGGATATACATTATTGGTCTCATCTGTGGGGTTTGTTGATAATTGCACTAGCAGTTGGTTTGGGGTTTTCCTTGTTGATATTGTTTGTCATCAGCTGCAGTTGTATTTCTTGCCAACCCAGTCTTTGTTGATTGGTAACAATTTACATTTTGCTGGATGCCTTAACCAGGTTGTTCTGACCTACTCTACTGAATCCAGATGCTGTGTCTTCTTCTGCTGTCAGACAGAGATAAGAAAGTAAAGTTGACACTGACTGGAGGACTGGCCCATCTCTCAGTGATGTCACTGCAGGCACAGGCACCAAGAGGATCCTAAGAGTCGCTGCTGAAAAAACAAAAACAGCAACTGGGTATGTCTTTTCATAGAATCCCAATCACAATTATCCAGTGACATGAATAGCAAAGCCAAGTAGTGATGTCTGGATCACAGAGCTTAGCAGGCACTCTGCAGAAGTTGGGAGAGGATGCTTACATACTGTATTGTATCTTAGCTTTCACTCCTCCAAATCAATTTTAGTTCACAGCTGCAACAACTCAATGTACAGTATGTGCTTTCTCACTGCTCCTCCTGCCTGATTTCCTAATTTTGTCATCGTCGTCTGCAGGCCACTGCTCTCTTGGATTAACTAGCTAGTGTTTATGATCTGTCTCTCCGCTGTTTGGTCTTGGATCTAGAGTAGACACTGCCTCAGTGTGCTGGCTTGGTTCACTGTCTGCCTAACCATCTTTGCGCCCAGTGCTGAAATTGGCCGTGGTTTATACTGTCATTGTCTGATCCTGATGTTTTCACTGCTGGATCGACTTACCCTATTGAAGAATTGCTTTTGCTGCTTCAGTCTGTGTTCCTGCTGCTGATGGCCTGACAACTGTAGCAATCCATTCATCTATTTTCTAACCTCTTCTTCAAATTCCATGACTTCTTCAGGGTCGCAGAGGTGCATATCCATGCAAGCAAAGGACGCAAGGCAGAGTACACCCTGGACGGGATGCTGACAGACACAAACACACACCACACACCAGGTCCAATTTTCCCAAAAGGCAATTAACTTACCAATTGTTTGGAAATAGTAGTGAGGACCCTATGCAGAAAACCAGAACAATCTCCAGAGGCGTAGTTGATATAACAATCCGAGGTCCGAAAGCTGTAGGTAAACAAGCCGGTGCAAAAGTCCAAAACCAGAAGCGGAGCCGTAAGCTGTGAGGAAGCCGAGAGTCGAAACCAGAACAATAACCAAAGTACCAAAACCAAAACCTGGAGACGTAGTCAGAGAACAAACCAGGGTCAGGAAGCCAAAAACCAAGTAGCAAGTTGTAGTGAAAATGGAAGTAGTGCTAGCCAGGAAAAAGCCCAATACTGAGCACAGAGGAGAGTGTGAAGCAGCATTAAATAGGCTGGGGTAAATTGGCTAATTGGAACCGTGCTGGAATGTGAGGTGGAATGATAAGTCCTCTGGGGGCGTGGTGTAACACCAATATGTTTTTGGACTGCAGGAGACAACCAGAGCACCTGAAGGAAACACATGCAAACACAGGAAGAACATACAAACTCCACACATATAGTTCCAGATTGAAATCCGGAGTCCTATGCTATGAGGGAGCAATTCTAAGCACTGTGCCACCATGCCTCGCAATTGTAGCAATCTTTGCTGCCAAGTCTTACTGATTGTGAAAGACACTACATGTGGACTGGTGGTACTTTTTTAGTTTAGTAATCGTGACCTATTATCCTGTCTTGATTGTTGTGTTTCCTCTTTCTTCTTTTGTTCTTTTGTTATGATAACTTCTGTAGTTGAGGTTTTCAGAGCTACTGTCCGTACCAACAAGGTTTAGGGCCTAGCTCTGTTGGTAGAGCATGAGACTCATAATCTCAGGGTACTGGGTTTGTGTCCCACGTCGGGCGCCAGATCCTCCATGTTGGAGGTTGGGCAAAAGGCTTACAATTCTGTCCCATAAAAAACTAATTTTACAGTAAAAGCAACAGGATGTTGCTGCCCCTACATGCCGGAAGGCATAACGGGCAAACATCCATCCATCAAAAAGGTTTGGTCTATAATAATAAATCTAATTGCAATAGTAATGCTTTCTAGTCCCATTGACAATAGCATTAATTTGAGGGCTCTGGTGGCGTTTATGGCTGCCTGTACTATTTTCTCCAAATTGCAACAGGAGCGGTCTCTAAACCTCTGCGCTCTTTGCCAAGGGTACCTACTAGAATTACTCTGATTTGGTAATACAATTACATGGCTTTGATTTGCAGTGAGTTCTCAGTTCATTGACCACTGGATTTGTTTTGTCTAACTGAAACACGATATCTATAGAATGACTATTTGCTTCAGATTGAGCTTTGTAGAAAAATCTAGCGACTCTGGTCAAGCTGTTGATTTAACAGTCATACATCAATTAAATGCTGGTCTAAATATAGTTGATGCTATATAATTAAATGCTTGGTTTTCAATACTTGGTGACCCCACCGTATGTTGGTAGTTCTGGTTTATCATTCCCTAAACCTGCTTCTCAATTGGTCATAAATATAACCCAGTTGTACAGTATTTACAGTATATTATTGTATTAATGTAGATGGTTGTTTTGTTTTTGTGAGTCAGTTTGTAATGTTTTTTTTCACATGCTATGTTATTTTAAAAACTTAAATTAAGTAAAATCTGCTTTCAATAAGCATAACCTATTTAGCAGTGGTGCAATCTGTACATGTGCAGTATATCTTCCTACTGTAGATGTATAAACCATATAAATAATCTGTATTACATATACTTTCACTTTCTATACCTGTAAATCATGATTAGTTTTTAATTTTAAATTTGATGTCCTGACCCCCAGCTTGGTCAGGCCTGGTTCTGCTAGTAACGATTATTTAGCAACTTGGTTACAAATTGCTTTGAACCTTTATCTGTTGCTCCTCTATTTATTCTGTATAATTTAAACATTAACCCGGTTTTATTACATTTATTGTTTTTATTAGTTTTATTTTAATCAGACCTGGTGCAAAACAGGTCCAATTTAAATATTAATTTCAAAAAGTTATTTAAAAACGTAATATTTCATATTTTGCATGGTTAACATAGGACACACATCACAAAAATACATTTATACAAACCTTAATTTTTCATTGACTTTAACTTTCCTTAAAACGTTTGTTAAACTTTTAGAGCTCCATTGAAGTGTGCTTGAAAGTATTCACAAATGGATGAGTAAAGGCATCATTTACTGGCTTCTTTTTCTGGATTAAAGTCAACAGAATTTATCATTTACTTTGCATGCCTGTGACTAAAAGCGGTAATCTCCCAGAGGTGTGGTCCCTAATATACAAAGTGTTAGTTTAGCAAGGCGAACCACCAGGGAACTAATCAAGCTCCGAGGCTTTATGAAAAAAACATTAACAAGGTGTAATTGTACTTGGTGTAGTCACCACTTCTTTATTGCTTTTAAATCCATTTCAATTGTATCTCGCTATTTATTTCTTTTATTTTTCATATCCTCCTAATTTTACCACTATGGCCCTTTCATTTACACCTTCTGAAACATGCAAAGTCAACCTAACTCAGTTTTCACACTATGAGCCCCAGAGTGCCAAAAGGAGATCAAATGCAGGATTAACCAGGCCCTCATCAGTAACCTTTCAATCCCACAGTTACCTGGACAAAAACATAGCCTGGCCAGGTCATTTCTGACTAGTCCAAACAGTACTTGTTCATTTGTGTCCCACTCAGCTAATAACATAACATAACATAACCCAAACATTCACCAGCAAGTTTCTGCTCTATGATTCAATTTCAATCACTAGGGAGCCCAATGTCTAACAATTCTTTCAGCACCTGATCTTTTTGATGTTTATTATCAGAATTTTAGATTAATGTTTGTCAAAATTAAAAATGAAACTAAAAATGACCTAGTAGGACCTTTTGTCATGTCATGTCATTTGCCAAACCACTTTATACCATACGGTGTTGCGGAAAGCCAGAGCCTACCCAGCAAGCAAAGAGTGCAGGGCAGGGTACACCCTTGATGAGGTGCCAGCCCACCGCAGGGCAAGTGCAAGCCAATCATACATGGGGACAATTTGGAGGCCACGGTAAAGGCTGAGGGGGGAAATTTGGCCCGGACACATTGATAACTCCCAACTCTTATCGAGAAATGCTCTGGGATCTTTAATGACTACTAGGTCAAGACAGGACCTATTGTGTTTGATTAAATATGGGACTAAGGCAGTCTTTGATACAGAGGCATATAGAGGCTGAATAAAGAAAAGTCTGTCTTTGAAAGGAATAATTTACAATACTAAAACCAGATTTTGAATCTATTTAGATTTAAAATAACCATGTTAAAACAATGGAACAATTTAAAGCAGGTAACAATGAAAAAGAGCTATGAATTTAGAATTTTGTATTCCCTAAGTTTGTTTGAAGTTTTTTTTATTCCTATTGTCCTTTTATTCTTATCTTATTGCCAGATTTTAACTGTCTTTTCAACAATCTGATAAAACAGTGAGACAGTAACACATAGAATTTGAATTATGAAAATTATGATAGGGTGTTTGAATTTGAAGTGACTTTCACAACTAAGAAATAATTGTTTCTTAAAAGAATACTCACTCATTTTTAAAATAAATTCACATTTTTTACCAGACAATTAGAGTGATACAGTCTGTGTCTGGACTGTGAGTGTTACAATGGCCTATAAGTATTTCTTTGTTTCAGATGTTAACATCACTCTAAAGAAGGGTAGAGTGTGAAAGCATGGAAAGCAAACAAAATCAGAATATACACTTGATATTATTAGTATATTAATTATTTGAATTACACACTATATAATTTTGCTGGGGGGCAGTTGTTTTCTTTAAGAAAATTAGAAAAAAATATGTTTCATGTGAGTCATATGTGCATATACACATTTCTTTGTACACACACGATGCTCCAAGTTTATAAAGCTTGGAAAATTCTTATTAACATTCTGGTTTTACAAATGGAACAAATTGCTAAATAATCACCCTAATCTTGGCTTCTCGCAGAGGCAAAAATGGATCTAGTTGGCTGGTCTGACAGCAGCTAAAGAGGTGCTGAGAGCCTCTGAAATCCCTCCATTTGTATAATTGGATCCTGGCTTATCTTGATATATCTACACGGTTCCACTTAGATCCATGGTGCCATTGGGGTGATGGTGGAGGCTTGGAGTGCTGTTGTTGGCATATTTTGTGGGTCCTTTGATGGAAAATGGAAAATAGGGATGGGGGTGTTTGGTGTAGGATGGGAAAAATGGTTTTGTATTGTATCGCATCTGTTCAATTTAGAAGGAAAGTAAAACAAAAAACAAATTGGTCACAACAAAACAATGTAAAAGTTACATGAGCTATAACTTACATTAGAGAAAGAGAAAATATTTTGGTTGTCAGCGCACAAGGCTAAAATAATATTACAAAGCAACTCCTTGCCTGTTACCACAACGTTTAAGTTAAATACAAACAGGCAGCACTTTGACCTGACCCTGCTCTGATTAGCACTGTGGCAGAAGCAACAAAATGTACAGTATATAGTCTGCCATTGTGTCGGTATATCTGGTGTTAATGGGTAGATATGCTCTGGTGATATTCTGACAACATTTTCAACCATTTGCAATGTTTTAGTGCATAAGAAAGCGTACAAACAGGCCATCAAGGCCATCATGGTGATTTATTAAAAACAGTAAATCCATAAAAAAAGTAAAAATAGTAAATATCTATAGTCCCTGACCTTGAGAAAGTGTTAGACCTCTGTAAAATAGCAGTGTAGTGCCAGACTTTATCCAACAAAGGACACAGAATCTTTATCTTTGACATTAAGCCTTAAAATAGAAAAGAAAACCATTGTTGTTACAGATTTTAAAAATAAATAAAGATGACTGTTAATAAAGCATTTATGGTAAAAGTGACATTGTTAGTTTAAAAAATCAATGAACATACAAGTCATTTATGTGTTTCTTAATATCCAGGTGAAAATATGCAGGGTTGGATCTGAGCTCTGTTACAGTGATCAATGTAAGATATCCCAAAAATAACTATAGGGCAACAAAATTGAAAGTCAGTGATGTGTGATTATATACTGATTTGTATTTACTTAGACTTCAGCTCAAATTGACATTAAGAATAACAGCACTGTTCTCAAACAGGTGGAATTAATAACAGGGAAGGTTAATGAGGGAAGAATTAGCAATGGAAAAAAATCAAAATTTGAAAAGAAATGGTAAAAGAATGAGAATAATAAGAATCCACCATAAACACAGAAGTTTTTGAAGAATGCTTCTTTTTACTAATTTGCATTTGCTATTGTTTCCACAATGGCAAAATTTATAGAAACTTTGTAGATACACCATTTTTTAATAGTCATTTAATTATGCTTCAAACATCAGGTGTGATTTTCAGTTTTCAAATTTGTATTCTTTGCTCATTCATTTCTCTCCATAAATTATATTCCTGCAAAGAGAAAAGCACTCAGTGTTGTACCAACTCTAACTATACATGGCACTCATTAAAACATGTGACTTTAGCAATGATGATTTGGTGCAGAGTTATAGGTGTTGCTGGTACAGGAATTCCCCCAAAAGTGAAAAATACAGTATAAATAAAAGGCTGCTTTGAATGAGAATGAGATGAAATAATGTGTATAAACATTTGTTTTATTTGTGAGGAATACAATGTTTTTCTCATGTGCTTCACTTGAATCTTCAATTCCCAAACTTGGTTTACTGTATATCTCCATCTCGGTACGATACTTTATGCATTATGTACCCTTTTGGCCTCAGACAGGCATTTGACCAGAGGTACAAGGTACAGTCAATTTAAAAACTGGTTCGGTTAATGAAACATAATTTGGTAAGAATTTGCTTATATATCCAATCGCTATATGTCAATTAAAAGGTAATAAATTAGTTTATAGAATAATTAGTACAGCAATAACATGCAGTATTCACACAATTCTGCATCACTTAAAACAACTTTCTTTTACCATTAGAAATCTTTACACGGTATTATACAATAAGAAAACTTTTAATTTGCTGTTATTGAAATGTATCAATTTGAAGAAACTCAATAAAATAAATCAGTAAAATTAACCATTATATGCTTACCAGCTGTAGTAATATTTAAGTTTTTTCTCAGGTTAAACGTGGTGACTTTAGCTCCATCTGCTGGAATGCATCTAGCCTCTTCTCAACCACATCACGAATGAGCACTAAAAAAAGAGATAAGAGAGCATTATGTTGCAAGGTAATTCCACACTTCCCTGCTGCATGCATATGCTTTCACATTTCGTTTCATCATGTATCTTTTATTCTAGAACTATGCGACTTGTAGTCCCTCCAAACTGTTCCACTGAAGTATTTTAAGAACTTCTTATAAGAAAGGTTACAAATGAGAGGAGGCTATTTGGCCCATCTGACCAGTTTGGTAGTTAATGAAATGCAGTGGCTTCAACAGCCTCACTGGTCTGCTACAAGTCATCAGCCAACCTCTAAAAGCCGGCAACCTACAAACTGGAAGCCAGTCAGAATTGTCAGCCTGCTGCTGTTCCTGCACCTTCACCAGCCCTGCTGCAACTTCTATGACTTCACTGTCCTGCTATTAGTCAGCGACCCATCTCTGTTGTGACTTCTATAGCCACTATGGTCCACTAAAGGTTTGCAGCTGATCACCTCATCAGCTCACTGCTGTTCTTAGAGCTTCACCAGTCTGCAACAGTTTCTACAGCCATTCCGGTCTGCTACAAACTGGCATCACATCACCTATGCCCTTTTCTCCCCTAGAACCCTGCACTGCTCCCAGGCCTCAGTGGGCTCACTGCTCAGCCCTGTCCAAGGCATGCCTTCTGAAGTCCATCTTGACAGCACACGCTTGGCCGGGTCTCTGGAGCAGATCCCCCTGAGAGCACACACCTTGATCAGCCCAGCTTCTGGTGTTTTGCCAGAAGACTGTCCCAACAATGAGCGCTCTGTCCTGTCTAGCCCCAGATCCAGGCTCTCCAGTCCCCACACTTGCCTGCTGCAGATTCACCAGTCCACTAATAGTCAGCTGTACTGGTCTGCTGTAAGCTGGTCTCAGGCAGCCTACTCTACTTGGACTTCTACAGCAATGTTCTATTGCTAGTTCGCAGTCTGATTCTGTTGAGACTGTTTCCGTAATTCTGACTCCACTCCACTGCAGCTTCTACTATCACTTAAAATTGCATCCTGGGCTGTCACCAGAAAGCTTTGACTTCTCTGCTCTTGGGCGTCATCACAAGCCTCCAAAACTGTCCGATTCTGACCTGATCACATCTATGGCTCTGTCTTGTGCATAGCCACATCATAACATCATGCTCTGAAATGTTGTCAAAAGGTTCCAATGTTTTTAAATGTTCATATTGTAAATACAGTAATTTGAGTATGAAAGTAGAACTCATCACTATTAGACACCTATTTGTCAATATATAAAACAGTTACTGTTTTTAATTTCATTTTCTTGTGTTTCAACAACTGTCATTTTTGTATATCATTAGCTCTTATGAATTTCTTTGAAACCTATAAATAAAATACTTGAAAATAAACAAGACTATACTTTTAGTATAGGATGGGAAACCTCTAAGGAAAATCAAATTGCTGCTGTAAGTAGATTGAGGAATCGGTAGGTGGCACTGTTCCCTTAGGACCAGAAATTTCAAAACCAGTGCATCAATATGGTAACCTTTCACATATGATGTAGGAGGTACCATCTTTCTGATGAGACATTAAAGATCCTACAACACTGTTTGTAACAATAGGGTTGCTAACCCTAGAGTTCCTTTCTGTGTATGAAGGTATGGAATCCTTGGGGGACGAAAAGCACTATACTGTATAGTACAATTGTATTTTATTAACTAATGGGTCAGTTACACAAAAATGTGTAAAATTCAAATAATAATAAATTGACAAATATTGTAAAAATTACTACATTTTTACCTTTTCCAACTTCAAAAATGGGAAATACTGTATGTACAGTAATGTTTTCATTAAAGACCAATATAAAATCAGCTCAAGTGTTCATACAGCAGACCCTTCTATTTAAAATAGAAAAGTTTTGTAAAACTGTTAAAATGTCCCTTTTACTAAAAAACACACAGAAGAAAACAAAATAAACAAATATGACCTACCTATTAAGGCTTTTATTCATTTTTAGGGAAACAAAATGCTCTAATTCTTACTAAGACTACTTGTCTAAAGATCTAAAATATAATAATGAAGTTCCTATATTGGCATACACAGTGCATAATCTATTTAGGCTTAACCCAACAAAAAGTTGTTTTTTTATCCATGAAATAGAACAAAATTAAATTTAAATGTAATTAAATTTCATATTTGTTTCTTATTTAGTTACACTTTTCAAAGAAACTACTATGAATACAGTTTTAATAAATAATAAAAATGTACTGTACTATATATTACCTCATATCCTTTACATAAAATAATCCATGTTTTAAAGATTACATGTAATTGCTTTATGATACTATAAACATAAACCTTGCAGTTCAAAGAAAACTGTTTAATTGCCTTTCTACGCACTGACAAGAAGCTGTCAGGGAGTGGCGCTGAGATGCTTATAAAAACTAATTATAATTGGAATAAGTACAAAACTGAAAAAGTAAAAGTTTTTAATCAATGACATCTCTAAAACTGTTTTCTAATTTTATGATAAATGCAGTTGTTAATATACACTGCCAAAAGTAAATAATTATTTACTAAATTTAATTTATAATTAAATATATTCTCTCTCCGGAACAGAAAGAATACTGTATACAAGTACTTTTAGACAATTACTTATTTCATCTATAGTTTTTGACATTTTAATCAAAAAGTTATACTTTGATGAGGAAAATTAAATGAACAGCTAGTAGGGATACTGTTATCAATAATAACTTACTTTAAATTGTTAGGATTTACCAAAACAATTTAAGCATGATTCTGTAGTGATGTACACACATTCAGAAATGCAAAATCTGTCCAGATAATTTAAATTGCAAGGACATCACTTTTGTACAGCCTTCTTGAACTCATTGTATTAAAGATTCTCAACTCAATTTAGATAAGGACTTTGATTAGGCCATTCCAGAACTATTTAATCATTATTTAACCATTCTGAATTAGACTTTGATGAATTATTATATCATGCAGTAGCACCTTAAAATGAGTCTGGCATTATAGGGGGTACCAAATACACCAACAATGATTTGGTATGTAATGGCATATATTTGACCATGCTTTTAGAACTAAAAGGCTTAATTTTCCATTACATTAAGAGAGAAATAACCCTTGAAGAATATTACTAACTTTCTTGAAGATTAGTAATCAACTGATATTCATTTTTCACTTAGGCTTACTATTTAAAATGTAAAAACACTATGTGCCCAGTTATCTTATCATGTATACCTATTGTTGTAAGAAAGACCTGCATTTTAATTGCACTTCAGTACGGAAATACTTTGGTATTTCTATAGGGACATATACAATTTTGATTACTAAAATACCTTGCAGAAATATTCACCCCCTCCCAATGATCCCATTGAATGAATATTTGCTCCTCTTAGTTAATGGAAGTTTAAAGGTCAATTTTCATAATTTTGAATCTTTAGCAGACAAATTTGTACTTTGTTTAATCATTTCACCCTCTGTCTTGACAAACTTCATAATACTTGCTGATAAGAAGTAGCCTAATAACATAATAGTTCAGGTGGGTAGCTGCATCAGCATGCATAGGCTACAATGGAACAAGTAATAGGTTGTGACCCACCTGAAGAAGGCTCCACGACCAAAATTCTGTGTTTTCTTTCTTCTCTTTTCAGCATGGAATGAAACTATTACTTGTTCCTAATAACATAATGCTGCCACTACCATGCTTGATAGTAGAGATAATGCTAACTCGATGATGTGCTGTGTTGGGTTTGTGCCTGCCAGACTTACTCTTTGTACTAAGACTAAAATGTTTCAGATTTATTTTATAGTAAATACAGGGCAATTTTCTGCAGTTACCAGATATTCTTGACTTATGGACATTTACAACCATCTCAACCATTGGGCTCTGTAGCTATTTTAAAGACATCACTGGCCTCAGAACGGCTTTGATAACCAGTTTTATCCATTCCCAGCTACTCAAGACTGGAGAGACAAATTTAATCTAGTAAGGTGGTACAATACACCTTATGCTTCTTAATGATGGACTTCACCATGCTCAAAAAGTATTCACTGTCTTGGATTTTTTAAAATATATTTTCATATCCTTATCTTGATCTAAGCCTTTCTACAGCATTACTCCCAAGTTGTTTGGAAAGCTCCTTGGTTTTCGTGGTCAAAACCTGGCTTGAAAATTCACAATCTGACTAGGACCTTACAGAGAAAGGTGTCATTGTTCTAAATTCACTATTACTACTATTATTTTTTACTACTTCTTGTTATTTACTACTATCCAACTAATTGTGTGACTTTTCAAATCAATTTTGTGCATCTGAATTAAGTTAGGTTTGTCTTGTTATACAAAACAGATTTTAGTTTTTGATTTTTCTTTGCACTTTCTGCTGACACTTTCACCCTTAAAATTGTCCACTTGACACATTAACATTCTGATTAAAAATAATCTTAAAAATATATGTACATTTGAAATTTGACAAAATGGGACATTTTTGGAGAGCCGCGAGTACTTTAGCAAGGACTGTGTATATACATATTATATATGAATCATACATATTGTAACTTTTTCAAAAACTGGATGAGTATAAAACTTCCTGTTGTCACACCTTCCCATATGTAAGCTCTTACACATTATACAGCACTCAAGCATTTTGTAGATCACATCAGCAATCCGGAAATACAAACCTAAGGACTTTGAGACTGAGACAATACAAAATGAGACAAAAGCTCTCAATACAAGCCAGTTTTTTTCTAAATGTAATGCATGCTACCAGACTTGGAAGTTGTATAGTATGTCTGCTCAGTTTGTTTACAGTTGCTTCAGCGTTCTGCTATAAAGACATGCTGGTTAGTTTACCTAGTGTCACTAAAATCATCCCTGTACTCTCATGTAAGTGAGTAGCCTGTGATGGCCTCGCAGCCTGTTTAGGATTTAGTCCTGGCTTGTACCCTGTGCTTCCAGGATAGGTTCCATGTAGCCACAGCTCTCACAAGGAAAACTTTCTGATAATGGATAGATGTTACCAAAGTAAGCAGATGGTTGTACAGACCTTAGACTAGATACAGTATGTAGTCTGTGTGCATTGTATTTTCAGAGCTAACCTTTTATTCAAAGTTGTTTGTGCTTCTCTGCATTTATAAGCCTGCACCTCAAGACTTTTCGCTTTTAAAAACATAACTCACATCATTACTATGTTAATCAATGTATAAACCAGAAAAAAAACACTGGTCAGTCCTCCAATCAACAGTGTAGTATAAGTGAAGTAAAGATGAGAGAGAAACTGAAGTTCCTTTGAAAAACACCCACATCATACTTTAGTTCCTACTCTCTAAATTAGTACATTCAATATTTGCGTTAAGTGATCGTATAATTTCAATAGGGAAACATCATACAACCATAGACGTGTGGGAGGAAGAACCCACTTCCCAAAATTTAAGAATATATGGCTGAGATAAACTCAGGCATCGCCTTCTCTTCACTTTTGTATAAATCCTGTAAAATATTAGCCCAGCAAGTGTTCTGGCGCATTTTATCATTTTAAGACTTAACAAGACATAAGCACTTCCAGTGTCAGGTTATTCATTTATAGGTCAATTTTGATATTTCTTAATCTTAAGTATAAATCAATATTGTAATAACATTGAATGCCATAAACATAATGGGACAAAGATTAGTGAGGTGACGTAAGAGTAATAGCGTCGTTATTAGATGGGATCTGTAAAAATACACCTGATTTAGACTAAACTGAGACATGACGTTATGAATATTTACTTGGGAAATGTGAATAGGAAATCACTTACTGTCAAGCACTGTTCTTCCAAGAGAACGTTTCTCCAAAGTGTTCTTGACTTCAGTCATTAACCAAGGCAGGAACCCTGTCTCTACATCTTTGCAAAGACAGTAAAATAAATTAAGGATTGAAGAAGATGCAGTAATAATAGAATAAAATTTTGGTACACTATGAAAAGACCACATGAAAATATGGTACACTATGAAATATTGGTACACCAGGACTGGTGAACAAAAAGCATCATTAAGACTTAAAATCAGAAAAGCTTCTTGTATAATAAACACAGTAAAAGTCCCATCATGGAGTTAAAATTCACATTAGGACCAAAGGGGAATACAACAAGGTTTGCAACCTTTGTGCAACTGCTTAACAAAGTATTTTTCTAGTTATGCAGATGAAACTTTAACTTTAGCTTCTGATAGATTTACCTCGCTCAACTGGATCATAAAAGTATCCGTGGTCCCGTAGTGAAGTGTAGACAGAAGGAAGTAGGTCAGCCAGGTAGTGCTGTGCAAATGCTCGAGCTGCAATCTTCTCTGCAGTCTCCTTTTCCAGCCGGAGAATCTCTCTCTGCTGCTTTATTCTACGCTCCTAAATGGTCGTTGGGACAATTTGTGAGTGCTCCTGCTTTTGAAATCAAGTGTCACAGCAGTCATTATTTTGTTTTTCAACTGTTCATAGAATAATGAAAATTATATTCTTGTTGAATAAACTGAATATGTCATCTTCTTTGAGAAAACCGAGCATGCGAGATGGGCACCGTATTGCACATCCATATACTTATCAACTAAGTGCACCTACTGTACATTATGTGGATTGACTGTTCTAAGTTCAGTCTTTGACATTGAATTGCTGTGTTAGGTAAATCCTCTGGGGGCATGGCCCTTCTCCGAGCACCACTGAGGTTGGGCTGCTGATACATGGATAGCTCAATTCACAAAACAATAGTCCTGTAACCAAGAAATTGCAGAACTGGCTCATCTGGACCATTTGCTTTTCTTCACATGGCATGTACTGAATGAACTGGTCTTCACTTTTCAGCCCAAAAGAGCATTATATTATAAAAGACAATCTCTAATGTGCAATTCTTCACGGGTTCTTTAAGTGGTTATATCAACGCAAATATTGTCAGCAAAGACAATAAAACTGTGAACTGCAGTGCTACCATTTTGAAAGTTATTACTGTAAATTATGTTTGAAAGTATCAATGAACCAAATATTGTTGTTAGATACTGTAGCAAGCACTATTTCTGTAGTAGCATCTACCTAACAACAAATCATTGAACAGGCAGACATTTAGAGTTTTTCCATCAGATGACCTGATGCATTAGTAACAGCTGTCATCTACATTTGCATAATACCGACCTATTCCAAACATGGACCCCAAATAACTAGCTGTGAAACTAATTTCAGATACTCAGCCTGAATCAATATTTTATCAAATAGAAGACAGTCAAAAGTGTAGCAGATAGAACTGCCTCTTTGTTCTGAAAAAAGGTTTCAGTGCTGGACTAAATCATAATAGTTAGTATATCAAGGCTCTTGGGTATGCCATTGTGAATATTCCTTGTGAATACCTTTTCCTCACGGTGCCTTCTCTCCTGCTCTTCCAGTCTCTGAACCTCCACCAGCTCGGCGTTGCGCAGCTCTTCAAAGGCCCGCTGTTGTGCACGTAAGTTGGCGAGCTCCTCCTCCTCCATCACCTCCAGTAGGGCCTGCTCTATTGTCTTTCCCACCAGCACCTCCAGGACAGGCTTCACTTCAATATCAAAGTCAAACAGCTGTGAACAAAGATCAACAGTCACATTCCCTGTAGAAGATTGACAAATCAACTTGTGTGCCCCTTCGGTTACTCCTTCTATTCCAGCTGTCTCAGGTCCTAATAATTTTCAATGTCTGAATGCCTGAATTCTTCACACTTCCATATTTACTGAAGATAGAGACATTAAGTAAAATAATTCTAAAAACTGAAAAAAATATTACATTATTGTAATATTCTAAAACAGTTACAAACATATTTATGTAAATAAACATAAAATGTAAATATGCACATATGCAAATATAAATATACAAACAATAGACTATGTATATATATGTATATATTTCTGTTTATAATTGGGTTAATTATACAATCAGTTGTGCTAGCTTTTGAATTTGTTGCTGTGTGGAACCAGTCATTCAGGAATCCCTAACAATTTGACAGCTCTATTGTAGGATTATTGCAAGTGGTTTACTGGTTGGGTTTGATCACAATTTACTGTCACTTAACAGCACTGCTGTAGTCTAGTGATGGTGGATGTGTGTAGACCAACCTCCTATTGTGACACACCCAACAGGAACATCCCCAGATATACTTCATCCTCTTTCACTTAGTTATTTTGAATAAAGCTTGAGAACCTGTACTGTACACATCAAACTTTGCATGCGCAAATATGCAAGCTCACAGTTTTACAATGCTTGTGCTGTCACACTTTCTGTTATTTCTTACTCAACTTGTGAAAGGAAAAGTGCAAAAAGTGGAAATTAGATATAATGTTTTCTACAAGAATATCACATCCTTAAATAATATTCTACTCAATTAAACAAATCAGTTTGCACTGTTATTAGTAATTTGGAGGGATCTAAAATGAATTATTTTTGTTCTCTGAATGGCAATGTGACAGGCAGAGAGTGTTAGTCAATGCCTAAGAGTCAGATCGCAGTTGGTATGCTCCCTGATAAAGATACCTAGTGGATGAGCCCTCCTTATTCACTGTACTGCGTCTCCTCAGGTGTGGGAAGTAGCCAATGAAAGAGTGAAAACATGACACCAAGGAGCTCTGAGGGAGAACTCCAGAGAGTATGAGGATTCCCTAATGAGATAGAGATTCAAGCCACTATGTCAGAGAGCCACAGTGCTAACTGCAGAGGACCAGCTGTTTTATGAGTCAACAGAGAATGAATCAAAAGGACTTCAAAGAAACAGTAAGGAAAGTTTCTGAATGGCTACAGAAATCTTTCTTTTTCTTTTATGAAAGACACTGTGAATACTCTTAAGACACTCTTAAAGAACTATTAACTGTTTTCAGTTAAAAGAATTAAGGGCACTACAGCACTGTAACTTTGGCACATTTCGGGTTCCCATCCAATTCCTTACTTTGCATATAACAGAAATTGAAAACTGTCAGTGTTCTTAGTATATTCATAACAAACCTCTCCTTCCTCTATTTGTGTTGCCACATCCTTTCCTGTTTTAGCTGGGATAAAAAGAGGTGTTGCTGGTTTGTCCAGGAAGGCATCAGTCTGACATTCCACACTGGACTCTTCAATTTTGTCACTTAGTTCTTCCAGATATAATTCTGAAAATAAGAGAAATGTTTTGCTCTTCGAGAGCTCAGATAATTTCAAATTAATGTTTTAATTGAAAAACATAATATCCACATACTTAATTGTTTTAAAAAAATCACTGCATGGTTTTACAATTTTAAACATGGTCAGCTGAACTAGAAAGAATGATAAGCCCCAGAAATACACTGGTTTAGCAATGTTACCTGTTTGCACATCTATGTGCTTCCTGCCCTCCACTGGTTCAGGGGTCCTGGGTCGAAACTGTTCCTTTGCCCTTTTTCTGGCAGTTGTTCTCCTCCTAGCTTCCTGTAGCCTCTGCAGTTCTACAGGGTCAGGCTGGGCTGTCTTAGAAATCAATAGAACATACCGTGCAAAAGAAATGACATTCATAACTGCACTCTTGTTTGAACTACTGAAATTATACAATCAAAATAAAATACTTCAAATCGAGCAGATATACTCAGTACTAGTCCTGGAGAACTGCTGTACATTAGGTTTTAAGTCATATCTAATATTTGACCATGAAAAACCTGGACAAAATGGGATCAGAGCGTCAACAACTTATTCAAATCATTAAGAGTGCAGGGTGTAATGAAAATGGGAAAACACGGTATACCTTTAGACCCCAAAAGCGGATAACAGTGCACTATAGTTTGACATAGAGAAAAACATTATTGCCATGGCATTAATAAAAATAAATAATTGTAGAAAATTCCAGATACCAATTTGGTAACAAAAACATTAATCTAATATCACAGCCTCTCTTAATTCCCTGATTTCTATGAAGATATCCATTCATGTTCTAACCACTTTATCCAGTTCAGGGTAGCAGGGGAGCTGGAGCCTATCCTGGCAAGCAGTGGCTGCAAGGCTGGATACACCCTGGGCAGGACACGAGTCCATCACATGACTCACACAGGCTCACTTATACCAGTGCCAGTCTTACAGAAGACCCTTCTCTCTGCTACAAAATAACATTTTGTTTCTATTTAACGAAACAACGTATAGTAATCACAGCAAAGATGAAATTAAGACAACTCCCCCTTCCTTTATTGAAGTAATAGGAAATATTTTGAATGAGTTTTATATCACTTCGACAAACATAAACGTAAAGACGTAAACAGACATTCCGTACTTACAACCGGCAGTACATGCTGTGCGTAGGTATTCCCTCGGACAACTCGCCGGTCATACATGATGTTACCATACTGAACTTGGCCTTCATTTCTGCAGCATGAAAAGAGGGAGGTTGGATCAAGATAAATAATAATAATAATAATAATAATAATAATAATAATAATAATAATAATAATAATAATAATACGCATCAGGTAAAGACAATATTTTGTAATCAAGATTACGTTTCAGTTTTACTTAACTTATATGGCATAATAAAAGGTTCCAAGTCCAAGTTTAAAAGGCCTCCTTAATTTAAAGCCAGTGCATCATAAGCGCTAATTGTGTTTGATGTTTTTGGGTAAAGACAGTTTAGATTTTGAAACATACTAGTGCAATGTTGCTTTACAATATCGATTAAGGGCAGTAGCAATCACTCCACTGCCCCGTTTGTCAATCTAATTTAGTCTCTGAACTTCAGCTGGTCCGAAGGAGCCAGTTGTATCATGGCAAAGAAACATGACAAAAACTTTCCGGCCCCTCGAGATAACTCTGCGAGATAATCAAGATGTAACTGTGAAACTTCAAGGGCGCCACAAACACAGGTGTGTTACAGACTTACTGCTCGGGTGCCGGCTCCCTATACTTGCTCCGGTTCTGCACTGCTCTGGGACGGCTGGCGAATGTGTAGGTGCCGCTTGCAGACTCCTTTTGCGGCTGTAAAACAGATGTCATCCTATTTAATGTATTTTTTTTTGGCTAACAAAAAAAACCCCAATATAAAACCGTAAGCAAAGAAGAGAGGATTTTAAAATCCAGCTCTCCAACTGCTGCAGTTGGAAACCCTCCAGTGCTTAGCAACCGTATCCAAAATAAACATATTCAGTGAGGACGTCACTTCCTCCATGCAGTTACCTTGCTGATTCACGAGGATTTGGCTGCACTTAATGATAGTCACGGGAGTGGTGTCTTATATTGGGTCATATGATTTAGAATAGAAATGTGATTAAAACAGGGTTTAATTATAGCTGACAGTGCAGAAATAAACGATGTGAGTGTAAACTTTTAAAATGTACAACAGTACACTTTTCATTCCATTGCTAAGGTGAAATATGTGCTGTTGATCCAGGCTATTTCTATGTATGTCTGTATTACGTCAAGGCATATTGTACAGTGCTCATAAATAAAATTATATTAGTATTTTTTTAACTATGATGATAATACACTGTTGACATCCATGATTTTTTAAGCATTTGTAAATAGGTACACAGTAGCATAGCATTCCAAACCCCCTGTTCTCTCCCCTTTAACCCTCTAGGATCACACTTTCAAGCCTTTTCTGTATAAAAACAGGGATAAATCCCTTCCTCTCTCTTTCCCCAGTGGACACCTGCATTTCTATTCTCCTGCGCCATGATCAACACACCCTACAGTTATGAAAAGGGTGATACAGCTGTCAGAAAGCCTGAAGTAGATGTCTCCAGCCTGTAATTCCCCACACTTCAGTCGTATTGACAGACACGCAACAAACTAGGTTTATTATACACTAAAGTGTCTGTGAAGAAGATTTGTTCTCTAACATAATTCCTGATACTTAAACAGTTACTACTATATGGAATCCAATTTCCAACAATGGAAGAAATTGGAGAGATAGTGTTTTGATGATAAGGATTATTCAGTCATTTTAAATGCTTGTTTTGAATTTTTATACCTTTTGTCTTAAGATAGGCTATAGTGTTAAAACATTGAAAGAATTTACATAATGTTAATTAAATGGTAGGTCCTAAACATATGCCAAGTTGGACAAACTTTCTGCACTATGCAGAATAAAATTAAGAAATATCATTCAGAGAGACAGGTCTGATAGTTCATGTATCTTCAAAAAGAAACAAGGTTATTAAAGTAAATAGATATCAGAGAACCTCATTAGTTGGGCAGCACATTTTTTTGTAATCCTCAATACGTTTTTTCTCCCATTTATTTTTAAAATCAAGTCTAGTAAAGAAAGCCCTTTGTAGCACAATATTGCAGAAAGTTTCTAGAAAATAATCATTTTAAATGAATGGAAATGGTTCATGTTTTTGT